GCTATATAATTTTTGTCCACCCAAACAATCTGCCGCTGGGAATGAGTAATACATTTTCTTAATTTGTGTAAAATGGAAGCAAGACCGACTATCTTTATGGGAGGGATGGAGTAATAAATCTCATGGAATGTTTGAATAATTACGACTTATAGTTATAAATGTGTGATTAAGATTAATGTTTCATTTTAACTGAATCTAAATCTTTTTATAAATTTATATTCAAAAAGAAGCTTACATATTCAGATGCACATACATAGAAATTTAAAAAGATAAAATTATACATACTTCTACAATAACGCGAATTTACATATTCATAAGTAATTATTAGATTTAAGTGTAAGCTGAGTCTTTCAAGTAAGTTTTAGGGCTTGTTTGGTATGATTTTTGAAAAGTCAAAATGAGCTTTTGAAACTTGAAAATTGCTTTTGGACTATTTGACTAATTTTAGGAAAGTGCTTCTGATAGTTAAAAGAACATTTAGACGAAATTGGTCTAACGTGACTTTTCTAAAAACACTTTCGAAATAAAAAAATACTTTTAAAAATTAGGGCCCGTTTGATTCTCATTATTGTAGAATGAAAATGAAAAATATAGCTGTTATTGGACCCCACACAAAAGATAAAAATTCAAAATTGATGGCTTGATGTGATGGATGACGATCATATTTTTCATTTTTATGTATGAAAAATGAAAAACAAATGGGGACTTAGTTTTGAAACTAAAATTAAGGTACATTTCTCCAAAACCTCTTCTATAGAAAGGAAAAGGAAAATTAATATACATGCCAAACGAACCCATAAAACATAATAATTGAGATTTAAGTAGGCATCTTCAAGTCACTTAATAGAAGATACAGTGTGTAGATCAAATAATGCCACAGGAAAACATAAAACCCCAACTCTTAAAAATCGATAAAAATAAATAAAAATTAAAAAAAAATCAAATGGCTTGACCAATGTAATTCTAATTCCACCTACAATTGAACAAATCAAAGAATTAGGTTATGGAATTACAATAAATAAATGAAATCAAATTAAGAATCTAAAAAATGAAGAACAATAAGAACAATGTATTCTCCTTTCGTTTAGGCTCAGAAAAACTGATCCACCACCACAAAGGTATCACCAAACCCGGAGAAAACAAAAGAGCACACCAAGGCACGGAAGAACAGAAGCTGATTGCACAAAG